TCTTGTGCCTGGATGAGAAGAACTTTTGGGAATGCAAAGCTACGTAAAAATTAAATGGAAACGTCAGTTCAGCTCATATCATTTGTGGGAAAATTCTACTTCTACCAGTCCTTCATCCCCTTTAACGAAATTGGGTGAATACATCTTATGACTTCCATAAGAAATGCAATTCTTCACATTTTGGTGTAAATAATTTCATTCAGTATGAAGGCTGCAGTACCTCAGGAATCAGCTTTTTTCTGATGCTACTAATTTATGCATTGTGAACTTTCACAAGAAATGAAAATCTCCACAGCATTAGATGTATTTACCCAATGTCGTTAAAGTGATGAAGGATTGTTAGTCTACAGCAATGTTATTTCAAGAGATTTCTCGAAACATGGTCATCTTTTTAAATATAGTTCTATTCTCCCACGGTACCATCTGCCTCGTCAGGACGACTTCCATTGGTGCATGCCTCTCATCGCATCCTCTCTTGGCCCCGTCTTTCGTAGCTACAGCAGCGTCCTGCCTAACCGATCGCCGTGGACACTTTCGACGGGAGTGGAAAGTCCTGAAGTTTGGCTCTTCAAAGACCAGTCGTTTGACCCTTGACGAAGACGAATAAATCGGGGCAAATGCCTTCAACGAGAGTGCCGTCAAGTGCCCGATCCGAGTGCTTTGAACCGATTTCAGATCAATGCCGCGTCTCCACGCAACACAGCCTCATCATACCCTCTTCATATTTACCAACTTTTTAACAGCCGCCCCATTCAACCCGCTACATCTTTTCATCCCGAAAAGTCGTTCTCCTTCTGCCTCCGATGCTTGCCCCCGGTCTCAGGTCCTCCGCACCCTCGTCCTGAAGATCTGGACGACAGGATGCGGCTGGTTTGGGCTTTCTTTGCGGTCATGTCTCTTTTGTCTGTAGCGGCGTCGCTGCCGTCTCTGCCGCCCATTTTGAGGCTCCCCACTTTGCGGTCACGCCCATTCTGCCAGGCTTGAAGGCACGAAGTCTCTTTGAGCTGACAACCCGTCGCCTGCCCAACCGCATGCATTTCCGTTTCCTGTCCTGTCGCCTTCGTTTGCTCCAGCCGCACTGCCTTTCTCGGCTGAGTCCTCTCTTGTCCCATCTGCCCACTCGTCCACTCGTCCACTCATACACTCGTCCACTCTTGGCTCACCCGTCCAGGGTTGTGTGGAAATTGCCACTATTCACTGATGGCCTGTCCTCGGCCGGAGATGTGGAGGAGTACGGCTCTTTCTTATTCTGCGACTGCCCCGAAGTGGCTGACCACCAACTGCTGGATCAAAAAAAGAACCTTCAGTCATGATCACTTGTGCGGACTCTTGCAAATGGGATTCCGTCGGTCCAGCCAAATTTCAGCCTTGATACCATCCTGGCCTCAGAGAACAAAGAATCATCTCATATTACTGATTTACTGGTGGCCTCGAAACTCTACTCCAATACGAAAATAAGTAATGTAGTTGTTTGCGATAGCAAATATACGTTTGCTTCATCGGCACTTCCACCAAAGAATATGATATCGCAAAGGGGCCTGAACTTCCTTGAAATTCACTTATGCCCTGTCACTAAAGGGTACCCGTGGCAGCGTAGCCGAGTGGTTAGCGTGTCAAGCTACCATCCTGCACTGTCATGGTTCGACTCCCTCTGAGGGTGTTGATAAGACCAATGCGAGGTCGAAACTGCAGTCCACCTCAGTCGGGATGAGAAGAACTTTTGGGAAAGCAAGGCTATGTGAAATTCAATGGAAAACGTCAGCTCAACTCATATGATTGTGGGGGAAAATTCTTCTCCTACCAGTCCTTCATTACCTTAGACGAAATTGGGTGAATACATCTCATACTACTGATTTACTTGTAGTCACGAAAACAATACTTTATTCGAAAAGTGTAGGAATGATGCCTTTTATGCTCTTATGATTTACATCATACATCGAAGGAAATCTTAGCACGTTTTCACGGGAACCGAAGGAGATTGCCTCGAAAACGGTGTCAACAAGAAGGTTCCAAAAAGCCATCCGACAGCTGGTCAAGAGGAATCCGTTCGAGGTCGTCTTATGTTGGGATCCACCTTCGAATCTGGTCACTGGACACTTTCACTCTAAATGAAAGCCATCTCAGCATTAAATCAAATTGCCAAAATTAGTTATCACATTAATATCATATATATATATACATATATTTCTTTTTTATTTATTAATAGAATTGTTTAGCACCTGCTTCATGCACTGAAGTTTGATGGTTTTATTTAACTCGATGAAGCGCACTGCTGCAAGTGCATGATGAAAAATCAAGTCATTGTATGCTTCTCAAAATTCACTATTTATCCATTCGTCGTGTTTAGGGCGT